ATATATTTATATACCTAACATGAATATGTCCCACTTGAGTGGAGGTGCTTTCTGTGGCCTCCTTGCCTGTCACTTCATGTAACTGTTAGAAAGCTTGCCTTCTCATGTGTCTGGAAGGTTTTCCCCCAGAGGTTTTTCTTCTCATGTGTTCACATTTTATCAAATATATAATATACATTTTGTTGTCGTCGATATGTAAACATGTTCGCTGATTTGGTGCTTGTTGCCCCGGCCAAGGATATTCATTTCCTGCAGTTTTGGTCATTTATTACTTAGCAGAAGGAAGAAATGAAAAACCTGCGTATGCTCCTTCTATTGTCACATCCAACCTATGAATCAAATAAAACAGACGATGATTGAACTACAACACATATTTTGTAAGCTGTTTGCCCCGTAGAGTCGAGGGTATTTTGTTGTTTGTAATAATTTCATGATGATACTATGAGAGTGTGGTGGCAGAGCGGTAAGTGCGCTCGACTTCCAAGCGGAAAGTCCAGGTTCGAGCCTAGGTTCAGACATAATTTTTTTCCGCCCCCTCCTGCCCACCCAGCAGGCCCAGGAAGTTGTCTCACTAACATTAACAAGGCAATCTCGAGTGTCCGGATCGGATGCAGGAACAACCTTTTTTACTATTTATTTCCGCAATTCTAAATTACTTCAAACCAAAATTTCGTTTCATTACAATATCAGCTGACCTGCAAGTCTTTTTTTTTTTTCCTTCGCTTTATTTTGTGGAGTGAACAACAAAAGAAATTGTATATTTTTACACCCCCATCGACACAAATGTGGGTGGTTGGCGGGTGCTCTGGTGTGGTTTGCTCCGTCTTTCCTATCAAACAACGATCATCTTTATCTCTCCTCTTTTTTTATGTTTGTTACTCTCTTGTAACCCTATACTCTTCGGCACTTATATGAACTTATTGTGTTGCAAGAGCCGTAAAACTCTTACTAAAACTAAACATCGACACAATTTTGATTATCTATGAGGCGGGCTTCAACCCTGCTTCTCAGGGCCAATGTGAGCTGAGAGGAAAGAATACAGCATCTCAGCACAAAGACTGAGATACTTGATAAAAATTCTCCTCACTCGAGAGACAAACTTTGGTCTCCAATGTGTGACGGCGAAGCATCTACCCACAACACCGAAGTAGCAATAATGAACAGATTTTAGAACCTGAAAGCAGTAATGTAATAATATACCAGGTATGCACATTTTTATTCAGAAGAATGCTAAAAATGTTCATTTTCTCTTGCTCATAGTAATGGCATTAAGAAAAGTATAGAATCTACATACACTACGAAAAGTGCATTTAAATTTGACCCAATACCAAGTATACACTGCCAACCCATCAAGTCGAATTTAGTTAGAGCCAGCCAAATGAAGGGGCAAAAAGATACCATCGAGAAACTATTCCACCGAATTCAATCGTGACCTTCAAAAGCAAATGCCTTTGTTTTTCAAAGTTGCGCGTCAGACGATCGTATGTGTAGTGCGAGTGGGCGGATTGAGGTAATGGGTCATTTGAAGAAGCTGATACGAATAGATCTAGAAAGCCAACGATATTTCCCATGTCTGTAGAATTCAAGAACCTCTCAACACAGCAACCAAGATATTGATATATATATATATATATATATATATGCACAGTCGGCACTTGACTTCAAGACGATATGGAAGGAAATGGCTGGGTTGTGAACTGTACATTTTGTGTTCAACAAAACCACAGGGTTGGTCGGCGGCTGCTCTAGTGTGGTTTGCTCCTTCTGTTCTATCAACAAACATCTAAACATCTATCGTCCTTATCTCTCCTGCTCCTTTTTTATGTATGTTACTCTCTTGTAACAAATCTATTCTTCAGCACTTATATAACCTTATTGTGTTGCAAAGTGACGTAAAACTCATACTACAACTAAAAACTAAAACAACACCATGCCCTGGTCAATTTTCTATTCTTGTCATATTTGACACAACAAGGGAAAGGTCTGTTTGCAGTATGCATTGAAACTGCTGTTAATCAACCTGATCTAATCTGATCTGCAACAGGCAGCCAGTATGAGGGAGAAAAGAACAGAATTACCAGAGGCCCAAAAGTTATCCCTTCGACTAAAACTTCAAGAAATAAATCTACACAAGGAGGTGAAGTTTGAAGTAATTTATTCACAATGTTAATTTCTGCTTGAATTGACAAAGCCAAGCAAATTCACTAAAAACAATAATTGTAATTAATATTTATAGTAACCATACACAAATAAAAGGACATAAGGTGACAATTGCATGTGATACAAAATACAATTATTCATATCTGTAAATCCCGTGTCTAAAAAACATAGCAACCATTCGGTGAAAAAGTGAATATCAGTAACTATATAGAGAGATGATGTTTCACCCTTTTCAAAATCGGAAAAAAACATTCTTCCCGTTACATGAAAGTAGCCAATGAAAAAAACAAACCCCCAGAAATGAATGGGACCTGGCTTTCAGGAAATCAACAAACAAAATGAAAGTAATAATAATAATAATAATAACAATAATAATAATACCCCCCAACAATAGCAGGGTGGGGAACGGGGTATAGGAAATAGCAGTTATGTACAAATTAATAAAACTTCACATTGACATGCAACAGCAACCAGTTCCAACTGCTCATTCACATTGAGATTTTCATCTTACCACAGCAGAATCATTAACCTAGCTCTTGGCTTTTTTTTAAATCCCAGGGACCTGTAAAAATTTAATTTCCATTTCTAAAACAGAAAACGGCCCATGATAAAATAGGAAAGACTCCTCTGCAAGAATACTCAAAAGTTAAGAGAGTTCAAGTAACACACAAAAACCCACATTGCTCTGAGCTATCACATTTGTTGAGTATTATTAATTTCTCTGCCTTCCCCCTCCCAAAAATTACGATTTTGAGAAACAACATATATCAACCTCTTATGGAAAATACGATTTAATCAAACTTGGTTAAAGAGAATTTTTGACCACATAAACTTCCAAAGGAACAGGGAACCAAGAACTATTGATAGCATGTACACGAGTTTCCTTAAACCGTTTCTTCATGACAGCCCATTCAACAAACACTCTTTGTGAATCAACTCAAAACAGGAATAGTTTACTTGTTCACTCAGATGCGCTTTTAAGCCGAGCTGCAAAGCTACAAGTCAATCATCAAAACAATCCTTTGCACGAAAAAAAAGTGGATTTGTATTTAAAAACATTCCAACAAAAGTAGTCTATAGGTACGACTCCTCGGCCAATTATGTGGAATGCTCTGGCCTTCATAGAACACGACGTATTTACTTAGCTGTAAATAGAGATGAATATAGCACTGCTTCAGCTGACAATCCGACAGAACCAATGCCAAAAGACAACATGGCTTTGAAGACCACACAGCTCTCTGCAGGGAGGAACGTTGACCAAGAACAAAATTTTCCTTGAGTTAAAACCTGGCAACTGTCTCAAACTCGCCCTCTTTGTCTACTCTACGCCTCTTTGTCAAGCTATCTATGAAATCCTCCCAGCGATGCCATAAGATCAAGAGAGTAACTCAAACAAGCAACCAGCTTTTCCTCAAAGACGCTGTTATGCAGGCTGCGTTTGTCCGAAACAGCTTATTCAAGAAAGTACTTATTTTCATAACTTCGAATGCTATGCATGAAATATCAATGAGAAAAGTGCACTTTACCACCCTTTGTCTTAGGCCACATAGCTCTCCTTAATGCATTTACGAATGGGATCAATGCAGACACGTCATAAATAAATAACTGAGGTAAAATTCCAACATCAACAACAGTGGGGTGCCAACATTTCATGTTCTAGTCAACAACAAGATGAAGCATGCACTACGACAAAGAAAAAATAAAATAAAATAAAAATTTAAAAGATACCAAAGGAGCAGAAAAAGTAACGCAAAATATAGAGTCAAACTTAACCAACAGAAAATATTTGGTCTTGACTGATGACAACCACCATCATTATAATCTAACAGTACTAGCTAGAAATGTCAAAGAACCTTTAACCATCGCAATCCCAGCAGACTCGACTCTGAGCCAGACACAACACAACACCTGTCTGTACAGAAAGGCTCCTCCGAGACCTACTCATCCCACAGCTGGTGAACAGGACTAACCTCACAGGACACTTCCAAGCTTTGGGGAGGAATAAACTAATAGTGTTACGCCCTCATCAACCAAATTTAGATCTTTAAGGACGGCGGCCAGCTTCGACCTTGCCTATCATGGCCAACCCTGTGTGAGAGATACAATGTCCCAGAAGAGATACTCTATAGAGAAACCTCCAAACACTGGATTCAAACTCATTTTCTGTGCACAATGGTGAAGAGCCCAACCAAAGCACCATCAATGCTTAGGACATGAAGGAAGCAAAAAAGTATTAAAAAAACCAACAGGATGAAACACATGCCAAATAAAAAGGAAACAGAGAGGTAAAGGTCAGTAATTATTCAACAACCCTTATCCGACGAAATGTTAGCAAAAGTTTATGAAGAAGAGGACAGAGTGTTCCAAATCCCGTATCTGTCTTAATCCGTAACGTCAGCATGATAAATGTCACTTTCTTTTTAAAAAAACAACTTTCAGCCATTAAAAAAGGATGGAATCCGTAGCTGACTGATATGAACTGGTTATACACTACTAACTTTAATGTCAACCTTTGCCCGAAATGTGATAAAACTTAGGAACCTTTTTAAAAAAAAGGTCAAAACTTTTTTTCAAAGCCACCAGTATTTGTTCAGTCAAACTGGGCAAGACCCGAGCCCTCTGAACATCTGCTTTGCAATCATTGCTTAGAGAGTGAAATATTTACAACTTGTTTAAAAAGAGCGGAATGAATTTCGTGAAGATCGTAAACTATTGTGGACTTGCCTTTTGCTCTTCTCTCTCATTATGTTTCAGATCGTTTCGTTTTTATTAAACTGCACCATGTCTCCTTTTCAACTGCGCTCTTGTGCATTATTGCAATTTTTTCAAGTTTCAAACTAAAAATTATTTTCTTCTACCAGCAACATTCTTTCGTTGCCACTTTAGGGGAAGTATATCCTGTATCTGGTTTGGCTTCATACTGTCACTAGATGACTTGTACGTACTTGAGATATCTGCTAGTAGGACAGAAGAGCTAATATTCTTTTGTCTTTTTAAAAACAATGACATGAAATCATGCTATTTATAAAAAAGTATTTCCAGAAATGACTCCCACCAACAACAAAATGTAATTATTCAATTTTGCAGAAGTTTTCCTCTCATAAACAAAAGACATTTATTCTCACAGATGTTTTTCTAAAGTGAAATATAAAATCCAATTCCCATTTCTAAAGAAAACACACATTCTGAAAAGTTTTTTCTCCCCATTACAAAGATATTGCACCACCAAAAATTAAACGGTAGAGTCAATAAAAAGTTGTTTCATGTACAGATGGCTGGCTCCTCAGGCAGGTTCAAATGTGTCGCGATGAAGTTCCACCAAAACTGGTCAGGTCATTGACTTTCAAGACAACTATTTACACTGAGAACTAAGCTCATCAAAGTGCAAACTCTGCTATAAGCTAAGAGCTACATTTGTATCAGTGTGTACATGGGCATGCAGTCATTATCTACAGGTCACAGGCAGAATGCCTTATAAATACAGTGTATATCTGTGCTGTGCTCGTCCAGTAGCATGTTGCGTGTCAGCTATATTGTGGAAAAATAAATCCAGGAGTGAATGCTTGAAACTTTGTCATCTCGAAGGAAAGAAAAGAAAAAAGCAGTAGGCCCTGAAATCCAGAATGGCCTCATTGACAAGGTCGACTTCTTACAGAGTTTAGGAGTTCAGAGTCAAGTGCACAAACTTCATAATGGGAAGAAAACAGTAGGAATAAGCAAGACAACAGACAAACAAGAAAAAATAAGATCCGAGAGAAGCAAAACATAACAGAAGTTCAAAACTTTATTCCCGTGCCACATCACAGTAATTGCAAGGGCCGGATTGTTCCAGTGCTGCTGACCAACTAAGATTTCAAACAACTTCTCAAAGTAGCACTGCACCATGGACCATTTGACGCAGCAACAGTAATTAGGAGCCACTTAAGAATTTAGATATTGCACACAATAGTAGGACTATCATCAAGAGTAGAAAGAAAAAAGAAGTCCTGATTTCATTTTCTTGAACCAAGTAGGCCCACAAGAGACATACAAAACTACCGAACAAAAGACATTCATCTGGAAAGAAACCTGGGTGCACTTGAGGAGACTCATGCTAAGGTACAAACTGGAGAAAGCAAATGTTGAAAGTGTTGCACGGCTTAAAGTAATATTGAAACAATATCCAACAAAAGGAAACCAGCAAAGACCCAAACACTGCGAAAGCCATGGCACAGTCTAGCCAAATAATAGAACAGATGAATTCCAAGTAAAACGACAGAGAAAAATAAAATCAAAATCTATAATAACATTTCAGTCACTCCTATAACGAGCAAAGAAAAAGTAACAACCCCAACCCACCCATTCCCTCTCAAACCAGCAGCCTCTCATCAAAGAACATATTATTAGTAGTTCAGTTTCATTCACCTCACAGATACCCAACATCACAAACTGTCCATCCAGCAACATTCACAGAGCAAGCAATCACCAGCCAACTGATATATCACACATCGTAGAGTCACTCTGATCCCAGTACATCATATAGTTGTGTCCAACGTCCCACCCTCCTCCTCACTACACTTGATGTCACGAAGGTAAGAACGATGAAGGAGTTTTCAGATTCTCAATCTCTTGCCGCTGCTGGTCCGACGACATAATCCTGAGGAGGATGAAATATGGAGAAAAGTAAGACAGGATAAAGGGGTTCGCTATCAGAGATGTTGACTTTGTCCAGAGTAGAAGGGAACAGACTAAAAAAGCTTATCATACAGGAGACTGACAGAAACCATCCATTCCTTAACCTCAAAGACTTAATGGTCTCTGTAATGTCAGCACAATGAGTGCCAGAAGGAAAAATGTTTCTGCCTGAAATAGAGACCTCAAGAAATCTAGCTGCCTGAAACTATCCGGCTGGGGACCAGGGGCCACAATAGACATAGCATTTAAAGCATTTTCAGGGGCCTTTTTGGGCCTCTCCTGCAATTAAATGTATGCAATTAGGTAGCTATAGTAAGCTAAAAATGTAGATCTACTGTGATAAACATACCTTCTGTACAAACTCAAAAGCTGCTCAGCTGTAGCCTTCTATCTTCTTGACAATGTGTGTGTGTGTGCATATGAAGCAATTGTCACTTCTCTTTCCAGTTCTCCTCACAAGCACTATCAGCCAGTGTGTGCAAGCACAATCAGTGAACTAGTAAGCACTTCTTGTTTTTAGTAAGCGGTCTACCTTTCTGCACCACGTTGACACAAGCCTATTATAGTGGGTTTCCTCTAACCACGACCACTTCCAACTGTTTTTCATTCCATCATCACAAATGAGTAAATCACCCTTTTGAAAGGACTTCATGGCTAGAGATCTGCCTCCTACTGCCTCTATTGACGATGAGTCTAGAATCAAGGACTACATCTAGAATCTAGATCTAATCTAGTAGGTCCAAGAAGAAGAGTCGAAGTCCAGATATCTAGATCAAAGTCTGATAATCCACGCAATACGACAGGCTGTCTACAGTCTGATCTATACACTAATTCACATCGCACACAAAGACATTCTTAGATCTAGAATCTAGTTCATACAGCACAAACGTATGTATTGTCGAGAAGGCAAGACTAAATCAAGTGACCTAATAGATCTATCTTACACTTCAAAACTGGAATTTGAAATAGAGGAGAAGCACTGAAGAAAATGACAATGTACAAGTACTACAACGCTAGGTTCAAGAAGAAGAGTCTGATAATCCACGCCATAGGACAGGCTGTCAACACTACACACTCTCTCTGTTCAAACTGCACGCCACACACACGCATGCGTTGTCAAGAAGGCAAGACTGCCTAAGCCAATAGACGTTCCAAGAGTCGAATCCAAACATGATGAGATTCGAAATCTGGTTTCTGACAATTTCCTAGTTTAGAGGATCTATTACCGTAAATGGAAACTAAAATAGTTGCCATCCAATGTTTTTTGTCAGTGAAACCAAAATAACCCAACAGGCCCAACGTATGTTGCATAAATGAAAAGCGATCGTTCAGTTACACAGCCTAAAAATTGAGAAAAGTTGCAGATTTGCAACTACCGGGATAATTTAATTTAATATAGCCCTAGATTAGCTCAAGTTTTGATTTGCAAACATCCCTAATAATACTACCCATTGACCCAAGACCTTCACGCGGCAGGCATGCTGTCAGCTTGAGGCCGAGGCCAAGACCTACCCTAAGCTGTGCCGACACCATGCGGGATGGATAGGCGCAAGGCTGCTGAGGCATCCCATCTGGCCTCCCAGTCTCTCTTCTCTCTGGCCTAGGGCCCTACTGAGGCATTCGCTGGTGGCCAGTTTTTCCCCATTATTTTCATTACGCATGTTTTCTCTGCTGCCCGAATGCTGGAACATTTTGCTTGGTAAATCTTGAACAGCCGGAAATCCGGCACAGGTGCCGGAGAACTGGCATCCATGGTCAGCACATTTCTTTCCTTTTGGATTTAAAAAACTGTCCACTAATTGACGAGCTGCAAAAAACGTGTCTTTTCCCACGCAGGTCTCTTTACGTCAACATAATCGGCTGCAAGCTTACAATTTGACAATGAGAGGAAGGAAGAGAGAGAGTAGCTGATGGGCTAGAGAGATACTCTCAGGATCACTTGCAATTTTTTTCTAGTTCCGATTACCATACAGCAATGTGTATATCGGCTTACAGGGCTTCCTCCTAATAAGGAGAAAACATGCATACCACAACAACTTGCAAATGACTTACAGTCCCCTTTTCCATGGCCATGAGTGAGCTTAGAAACATGAATTCATTTTTGCAACATTTAATATCAACATTCATTATTCTATTTGATTTTTAAGAAGGAAATTGAGGGCATTTTTAACCAACATCAGTCAACTCAACATAAAAATATGGCAAAAGACGTTACACTAACTAAACACATAGGCAAAATAATGTTTTAAAAAATCAGTTTGTTGCTCAACAGGTTTAATTACTAGAAAATACGATCTCTTTGTAAGTAATCCTAACAGAGATTTTGGCCATTCTACTTTGACAATATTATGTCACATGCATGCCAAGTATCACCTTAGACTTTAGCTAGAAATTTTGACGCAATAGTGACAAAGTAAAGTGCAGCAAAATCTCACCTTTGTTCGTGAAGAGTAGACTGGATTTCTGCGATGCGGACCTGAGAACGAGCCCGTTTCAGCTCCACAGACACCTTGCTGCACTGATGGCTGCCCATCATCATTGACTCCTCCCAGTGCTTCAGCGCCTGAGGACAAGACAACCATGCTCTACATTAGAGGAAAGTACCAGAGAGAAAAACACAACATTGTGACATGTTTATCTGCTACATTTTGAATAACTTGTGTGAATTCTGCATCGATGATGTTTTAAAGACATATGTTGGATCCTATTACCCTTTTGTGACCTGTGACTTTGTATGCCAGGAGAAACAAAAAAATACCATAACTCCTGAGAACAAACAGAATTTGTACCTTAAAAAAATAGCATTAAACAAGGAAAAACAAGATATCATCCATGTCACAAGCAATCCACTTATGTCCATTTGGGTACTTTTTACACCAGAGACAAGAAACTAGTTTTTGTTGTGCTGTTCCTATCAGGAATCATAAAAAGCAAGAATATCTTAAGCCTGTATTACCTGTCCTGGGCAACAACGTCATTGCACCCCGGACAGGTCCATAAGAAAAGCCATATATCAAGCCGTGACCATAGTATTTAACTGCATTTTTGTGGTGTTGAAACGTGCATCTTTGAAAGAACTTTGGGAGGGTGTAAAAATAAAAAATTGGACCAAGGGGAATTGCTTGAGACAGCAATGATATGGAGGAATTAAATCCTCTTCCTAGTGCAGAGAGAAGACATATGACCCCTTGCCTATTTTGTGTGATAACAAAAAGTCCATGTAAGCTTCCACTGTTATTGCTGGCTTCAGTAATCACTACACATGTCAATAAGGCAAGGTCCTTAACTGCAAACAGAACATGTAACCACATCAAAGTTATGAGGCCTTTTCCTCAAAAACTTGCCAGAGCATCTCAGTAACAGCTTATTCCTAGCATCCTGGTGGCTTTGGTAGACTGGTGGTTACGCTATTGGGCTTGGAATCCTGAGATAGCGATTGCTGGTGTTCAAGGCCCAGTTCAGTTGGACTTTGTGTCCTTGAGAAGGGCACTTTACCTGAATTTCCTCATTTAAGGCCGGTCCCAGAGTGGCTCTGTAGGTCTGACCTGTAGCTCGCACCGTGCAAATGAAAGTATACATTATCGTGAGCTTAAGCAGCGTCACTGTATGGTCTGTCTGTTGTCAGCTGAGCTGCGTGCCACAGACGTGCTATTCAACAGTGTTGTAAAACACGTCTGACATGTCTTGCACGTACCCTCGCTTCGCGTTTATTTTCGACTGAAATTCTTCACAGATCATCAAAATCAGCAAGAAGTAAGTATTATTAGGTGCTTTACTTTTAGATATTGATGTTAGCATCAACACTTGGCCGCAAGATCCCAAGAAATGCACTTCATCCTACATTAAAATTTCAAATCGAGAGGATGACCTAGTTTCGACTGTTTACATTCGTAGGCCTGTGTGCTTCTGGCCTAGTGCGGCTGTGCTGAAACGTAGAGAGCGATCACTCAGACACAGAAGTTAACGAACAGTGCGGCTGTACTGAAACGCAGACGGCGCGCGCTAGGCAAGCTACAGGTCAGACCTACAGAGCCACTCTGGGACCGGCCTAACTCTGTCCTATCTAATGAACATTAACTCCCAGCAGTTCATGCACTACTATATTGAATAAATATATACGATGGCTGGTGACATGGTATTTCGCCCATAAAATACATTTACTTTCACAAAGAAAAAGTTTGTTAGGTATTTTTATCAAATAAAAACAACTAAAAAGACTTTAAAATATAAAATATGTATTAAAATTCAGGATTTTACTTTTATTAAAAATTCTCGCTCTGAAATTTCCAATTTCAAGGGCACTAACTGACGATTTCTCGCCTAGCTCGCACCGTGCAAATGAGAGAGAGAGAGAGAGAGAGAGAGAGAGAGAGAGAGAGAGAGAGAGAGAGAGAGAGAGAGAGAGAGAGAGAGAGAGAGAGAGAGAGAGAGAGAGGGAGAGAGAGAGGGAGAGGGAGGGAGAGAGGGAGAGGGAGAGGGAGAGAGAGAGAGAGAGAGAGAGAGGGAGAGGGAGAGGGAGAGGGAGAGGGAGAGAGAGAGAGAGAGAGAGAGAGAGAGAGAGAGAGAGTATTTAAGGAATAAACGTATCTAGATCTAGATTTGTTGTGCACCCAGCCAAGAGTGTGCAGTTGGGAAAGTAGATGATCTAAATCTAGATTAGACCTAGATAAACTAGATTTAAAATCTTGAAAAATAAATCTAGATTCTATGTCTAGAGATCTAGAATCAAGATCTAGATCTAGATCAAGATATAGATCTAGATCAAGATATAGATCTAAATCTAGATCTAGAATTTCGATATAATCTTAATTCAGTTTAGATCTAAATCTAAATGCGAAACACATAAGAAATACTACAGGCGCACTTAGATCTAGGCCTAGATCTAGATTAGTATGATTTAGCCCAGTGCACATGGGACCGCAATTGTAGCCCACAGGAGTGCCACATATTTCTTAACTTCAGTTCAGGATGAAGGATTCTGACATTGGAGAACAGCTCGCTGTGTAGCCTAGATAATCTAGATCTAGATCCTAGATCTAGAATCTGGATTTCTAGATCTAAATTTAGATCTCATCTACTTTCCGAACGGCACACTCTTGGCTGAGTGCCCAATAAAATCTAGATAGAGATCTAGATACGTTTATTCCTTAAATACTGTCTCTTTGGGCTAAGATAAATTAATTATAGTAACACTAGATAGACATACCGCCCAAGATGATCAGTAGCCTTGCATAGTAGCCAATGTAACCTACCGCTCGCTCGGCGAGCCAATCACAATGCAACATTTTTGGGGTCCACCTAGACACTTCCTTTGTAGAATGCACAAGAACGGCCCATATTTCTTAATTTTTCTATAGAATGAGGTGTCTTTTACATATTTCATGCAGAATTGAATGTACTTTCTCATCAAATTAATGTAAACTGTAAATTGTAAAAAATTGTTTCTTTGTGGTTGTTGGGGCAGTCCAATTTCTGTTTCTGCATCTATTTTTAGTAACACGAAAAATATGTCATACCTCAAGAAAGCTTGAAAAATATAAAATCTATTGGCTAGGTCTGAAAGACCATTTAATTCCCTTGCAGATTATTGCAGGAGGCTTGAGAGCAAAAAGTTATGAAATGAAATTTCCAGACTCAAGGGCAATAACTAGGAATTGTAGGATATACTGGAATGGTTCTCATTTCTTTATTTTCCAACAGAAAGTTGTTTCTTTGACACATAATATGCAGAACTGAATGCACTTTTCCATGAAATAATAGTAAACTCTAGATTCTCAAACACTTTTTCATCTCTTCTTTCTGACTTTTGGAAAAGTGTGATTTCTGTCTTTATTTTAATTTTTAGTTACAAGAAAAAAAGGTCCCACTTCAAGACAGCTTGACAAAAATGAAATATATTGGGTAAGTTTGAAAGACCATCCAATTCCCTTTCCATTGATATATATATAATACGTCCATCTGAAGTAGATAGATTATTGCATGAGGCTTGAGGGTATAGAGGACCCCTGAAACATAAATGAAATAGCCAAAAGAGGCAAAACTGCTGGGAACGAAATTCGGAGGTTCCACAGCAACCTCAATGGATCATCTCCCTACCTGCTTTTCCACACCATCTGCTTGCCAGCCCAACACATGGCCGATCAGCTTCTCATTGTAGTAGTTGCTGAGTGAGGCTGTCAGTTTGGCCGTTTCCTCCCGCTTCATGGCTGCCGCCGTCAGGGCTTGTGAGTTCACCGCAGCATTCTGAGAGCTACTGTCACTCGGTGTTGGACTACCACTGAAAATACAGAAGTAAAACTAAAAACAAGACCAAAAAAGACTGATTCATTCGTTGTAGGTGTTTTATAACCCCCTCGACACAATTCAGATAATTTAAGAGGCTGTTTTGCTCAAGAGGCCTGACTTTAGATCTTTCCAGCCATACATACAGCAAAGGAAAGCAAAAAAGTATAGTGAAGCCAAAAAACTATTTCCACAAGCAAGAAGAGACATGAAAAAGAAACTGAAAAAAATATGCAATGTTTTCAAACTATTAAAAAAACTGTCACTTCACACAATTTCTTGATGGAAACAGCAATATTTGACAACTCACCAAGAGCTTTGAGAACTGGTATCTGAGACCGGACTCGCCCGACCTCCAACATTCTCTTCCCCAAGAGCTGTGGGCATCATCGGCTGTCCCTGTGGGCCCATCGGTAGCAAGCCCGAAGGAAAGGTCGAAGGGTGCAAGGATATCAGGGAACTGGCACTCATCGGGGTGGCCATGGGAGTGCTGAGTAGCCCTGCTCCAGGTACCACTGGGCCTTGGCCTGCTGGGGAGAGGAGAGGGTGAAGAATAGACACTTTTAACTTTTGAGTTCAGCTTAGGTTGAAGGAATTAACATCTTTTGAAGGAAGTACATAGACACAATAACTGTCATGAAATCAGGCGCTTGTCAAAATAATTAAATCAAAAGAAACCAGCATTTTTCTGGCCATTCTCTTAATTTTTATGACTCCGTATCTTTTATGTCAATTTATTTCAGTTTACATCTTACTCAAAAACGTTGATCAAATAAAATGTAAATTCGCAGTTATCAAAAACACCCAGTCCTTGGAAGCCACCAAAACTTTGGTGCCCATTTTCTCGTTAATTTTACCTCTCACACCAGCCCCCGCCCCACCTTATGAAGCTGTAAGATGACACCAACAACTACATGCCCAAAATAGCCGAGCGCCCGTTTCCACAACGTCACGACAAACACACATATATTTTAGCAATGACCACGAAAAAACTTTTTTTGTCAGATTTTTTAAGTGTTTGCAAATAGGTGCATTTTGTAGCTGCATCTCCACAGAGAATGGAACTTTTTCAATGTTTGAAATCTATCAATAAACAAAAAAGTTACGGATTTTTTAATCAATTAATTTTTTATAGACTTTTATGTAATGAAAAAAAACCCCAAAATATGGGACGTTCTTTGGTGAGTTTTGAGACAATATTCGTCATAACTCACTCATTTCACGGAGTATTTAAATGAAACTTGGCAGCCCAGTACATTTGCTAGTGCAGAATCTAGTCCTGCTTTTAGATTTCTCATAGCTATCCTATTTTTTGAGTTATGAAGACGTTTATTGGTAAAAATGTGGCGGTTTTCTGTGTGTTTTGAGACAATATTTGTTATAGCTCGCCTATTTCTTGGAGTATGTAAATGAAACTTGGCCGTCTAGTACAGTTTTTAATGCAGAATCTAGTCATGCTGTCAGATTTTTAATAATATCTATCCTACTTTTTGAGTTGTAAAGACATTTACAGATTTTTAAAAAGTGGCGTTCCTTACAGATTTACAAAGATTATCAGTCATATCTTCTCCCAAAGTCATGATATTTGAATGAAACTTGGCAACGTAAAAGATTCCTCCTTGCTAAGCAATGCACTGGATCAATTTGTCACAAAAATTTAAGTAGAGAGCTGGATTTATTAGTCTAATAAATCCAGTTCTCTACTAGTACAAGCATGCACACTTTGTAATAGAAAATAAGACCGTCTCTGTATATATCCATTGTTGGACAGTGTCCTATCGTGTGATGCGTTAAGATAATATTATTATAGTTTACAAGTCATGGGAATATTTCGCATGTGTAGGCTACAACTCATACTATAAATGTAACATATTTACCCCCCCCCCCCCCCTCTCCCCTTCTCTCTCTCTCTCACACACACACACACATATATGCACGCGCGCGCACTCACGCACGCGTCAACAATGAATAAACGGGACTATCTTCCCAGACTGGACTAAATAAGTACCATACTCTTTAAAAACAATCTTAATGCCTCACTTTTCCAAACTGAGCAAACAGGACGAGTCCAAGTGTGTGCTTTCCCAAGAGGGGGGAAATAGGCTTTCCTAACGCAAACACAATGTGAAACCACTTCTCAGATGTTTGCTTTTCTGTTTCTATTCTTCTCTCATGCAATTAAGCAAATAAAAATGACTACCTCTATCGTATTGTGACTAAAATGCAATACAAATGCAAGTTATCAAGGCCCCTGTTTAGTTTCCATGTATCATTCCCCCCCTTTCCGGTTCATATAAGCGGGGCCTCGTTCGTAGCGCCCGAGACGACCGATGGCTGATGAAGTCACTCAGTGGAAATTTCCCAGCCGCCGGTTGTTCACCCAGCACGCGCAAATGGCAATGCCGCTTTTCCCTTAGTTACTCCCACATTTTTAAACATTACGCCAAAACCACTAAACACAGAAGCATGAAATTTTAAGAGAATAAAGAAAAATGGTGTACAACGTATCAGTCAGTTTGACAAATCACAGCTCCGAAAAATCTTCAAAGCGCACCACATCAACCACTTTCGCAAACGTTTTCGACTGCTTCTTGGATGGGTACAAAGTTGTCAAACTGCATACTACGAGATTGGCCTCTTTTCTAATTGGCTGCCAAGTTTCATTCATATCCATTCACGAGAAGCGGCGTGAAAGCGAGTTGAAGACAACAACCTTTGCGTTAGTTTGTCCCATGAAACACCCCCGCGGCGGGGGCCAAAAATCGGCAGAACAAAACGCGCTCGGTGGGCATTGCTATATATTCATCCCAAGAGCAGTAGGAAGAGAAGAAGACAAAGATCCATCCGGACACCAGATTTAGAGGCAGATCTCAGGCACATGGGGCACAGCTAGCTCGAGGTAGAGAAAATTGCCCAGAACAGTCAGACGGAGAGCCTTTCTGGGTGGCAGGTGATGAGAATAAACAAAAACACATGGACACACAAACTGTCAGTGTTATTTTATTTAGTGCCTGGAAAGAGCAAGACGGACTAACAGAGAAAAGCAAATGGAAAGAACAGAAACAGGACCAAACAGTCATTCCGCCTGTCATCCATCAAGAAAGAACCTCTGGGAATAACTTTCCCACATTGCCAAAAGGCAAAACACTATTTTTAGAAAGCTATAACTACAATACTCTAAGAGGACCCTTGGAAAAAACCAGCTCATAGCCCAATCGACAAGGGATGCAACACACACACACACACACACACACATAACCTTTTATGCAGTGGAGGCATGTTTTTTCTCTCTATCAGTATATCAGTAATGTCTCTTGCACAGTTCACCTTGAGCTAAACAGCACTTGCAACACAATTAGGTCATTTAAGTGCTGAAGATCAGAGGTGTTACAAGAGAGTAACAAACTCAAAAAAAGAAAGAGGATACATAAGGATGACAGATATTTGCTGGGAAAGAAGGAGCAAACCAAACTAGAGCACTTGCCAACCACCCATAATCACAGGCATAAAAACTGACAAAATATACACCACTAACAGAATACTTGATATACACTTACTTGTGGTACTTTGTTGAGCCCTGTGTATGTGCATACTCAAAGCTTTTTGCAACTCCTGAAGTGTCTGAATAGCTGAAAAAAAAAAATTCAACTCTTTATTTCATTACTACCACTATCATTCATTGTCTGTCTATCATATTGTTGTACAGTAATAACCAAAAACTTTTAAAACAAAAAACAATACTGTTGTACCTCCTCTATCGGTCATCTTCCCAAGACAATCACCTGTACTGACTGTACAAACAACCACCCCCCTATTTCCTCCTTGCAGCTGTTTTTTTTTCTAATACATCAATAAGACTCTCCACGATGTTAACTTTTCAAAGACAACCACTTTTCTCCTTGACAATGGGTGGCTGTCTTGGACAATTTCGACTGTATGTACAAAATGCGAGCAGTAAATTATTAGACAAGAGAAAAAAAAAATAGACCAGTCAGCGCACATAAACATCAAACTTAACTAGAATTTTTGAAGCAGTAAATGAAGTCTCAATCTGACTTGAACAACAAGTCATGTGTAGTCTAATTCATTGTCAAGTAATAAAAATATCTGCATGCGACATCAAATAAAGAGGGTTAAAATCATAACTATCAAACATTCCTTTCAAGTCTTAAAAAAAAAAATACAACTCATCTGACTGAAGAGTTCCATAGACAGGACACACTTCAGTGATCTCAGTTGTGAATCCTTTGAAATGAGACCTAAAACAATTTACACTGTTAAAACATCAACAATTTTAAATGTTTCAAAACATGCCAATAATATTTATCAGTCACAAGAAAAGAGAGCAACTCCACTGGACTCTCACTTGATGGCATAAAATGGAGCAATGAAATTACTCATTTTTCTTGCAACATTGATAGCACGTTGTAGCAAGTTAAGTACTTCTATCACACTTACTTTTGCTTTTGTCATAATTTCCTCCCTCTGTGACAGCTTGCCTGTTGACCAAAGTGGGGATGGGACAGCCTTGAGGGGAAGCCGCCCGCTGCCCACCAGGGGTGCTGTTAGCGTTGTGGGCAGGGGTGGTGGCAGTCGCGATTGGTGTGCTGGTGGCCGGCATCTGGGGGGTGCCTGTCACCGAGGAAGGTCGTGATGAGGATGGAGAGGGAGAGGGGGAGGGGGAAATGTCCATGTCATCTATTGGAACCTGCCCAGTGTCTGAAACAAAAACAGAAAGTAGGGAAAATTGACTCACAGTGTTATTATTACATCACATTGACACTAAAAGAAGATGACAACAACTATTACAACAGGATTTCAGGAAAGTAAAGGAAAATTGGTAAACTCTTTGAATGAGGTCTTGTCTCTCTTAAAACAGCTTAGATTTTTTAAATTACAAGAGTTCTGAAAGATATACTACGCATTTTTTTAAAAGCCAAAATTCAACACGAATCAAACCTCAATATGTACAGCAAAAGTGAAAGCCTCTGATTGTTGGGGCATTTGAGCAGATCAATGGGAGTTTCAAGCGCTATTACATGTATGTATGTATGTATGTATAGTATGTGAGCCAGTGTTCACTTGTGTGTGTTTTCAAAGGAAGGGATAGTCATGGACAGAGATCGACAAGATAAACTAATGGGGACAATATGTGCATAAGTTAAATAAGTAGTAGCAGGTGTGTACAGAAGAAAAAACAACAAAAGCAATAAAATAAAGAAGATGAGGGGTGGACAGCAGGGTGGGGAAAAGAATGGAAGATGTTCACATTTCATGTTTGTTTTTTTATTTTCAGAACTGCTAGAGTTCAACATTGCTTTTGCAAAGCTTCAATGCAAGGCATTTAAATTAAAAGCACTAGTCACATCAAACGATTTCTAGCTTGAAAGAGTATTGAGTAGAAAAAAAGAGGGAACATAAACTGTTTATATTATAAAATAATAATTACAAGGCAAACACCTTCCATTGACAAATTTAAGGACATCTGCTATACCAGCTTTATAACCAAGCTACGCTGTAAACAAACCAGACAGTGAGAAAAGAAGTAGCAGTTCACTGCTTGGGCATCAATTATTCTATTTCATTTTTTCCTTTCATTAGCTAGGATCTTTGCCTTTCAGAAATACAAGCCAAAGAAGTAACTTTACAAGATTGTTTGGTATTAACTTCCAAAGTGGTAATTTTCATCCTTATTTCTAATTCTCACTCAGATTACTTCGCATACAAATATTTTTCTTTAACTTGTCCTGACAGTGAGTTGAGTGAGTTGCTGAAACACTGTAATGGGGAGTATTCATCATGAAATAAGAGAAGTAAAGTCCATTGCTTTGGAGCCTATGCTAGTTTTTTACAGCACTTGCAACACAATAAGGTCATATAAATAAATGCCAAAGATTAGAGGTGTTTCAAGAAAGTAACAAACACAAAAAAGGAGGGGAGATAAAGACGATAGACGTTTGACAGGAAAGAAGAAGCAAACCACACCAGAGCACCCACCAACCACCTACGAAGATGAATCTTAATCTATTGCCAGGAACTCTTTTAGTTTTTTTTGGCTTTTTTTTTTAGTAGAGGTTTTACGGCGCTCGCAACTGCATATAAGGTCATATGAGCGCCTTGGGGTGGATGTCAACAGAGAAGAAGTCCTAACAGGGATTCAGACTTACTCTGCTCACCTCTCTAGCTTTAACAGCACAAAGTCTGCTTCGACCATCAAGGCACCCCGGAAAAAGCAGGTCACAAGAGTGTGACAAACATACAAAGAAGTAGAGGAAAATGACGATAGAATGGATTAGGAAAGAAAAAGCAGCAGTTCCCTATTGTAGTTCAAGCACAGTTATGAGCATGACATTGTTGGATCAGCCCATTTACAATTCTACTGTGCACAAGAACATGCTAATGTTCCTTTGGGAATGGCCTAAAGACACTTCAGTCAGTGGTTAACTCTTTTAGTGAAAAGTATTTAGTATCATGGTCAGAATTAATGTTTCAAAATTAAGTCTCAATGTACACTCTTGAATAATATCATGACTGACGGTTAGCACACGAACAGTTTGTTTGAATGACGAGAAGCAGTCCAACACAATAATGAATAATGATCAATTAGAGCTTGGAAAAAGTAAGACAGACGGACAGAAACAACAGAGGGAAAGTTTTTAAAAAGTAGGATCTCACAGTTGCGTCCTCCTGCATGAAACTATTTGAAATTTGGGAAACATCCCTAGAAATAGTCAATGAACAGTGTGGCAGACCTTTTAATGACATCCATTTATTTGATGAAATATTGAAACAACCAGCAAAAAGCAAATTACCATGTCATCATTTTGACTGTGAGACACCCATAATATAATAAGACCATTTCAGATTGAGACCAAAATAATAAAATAACACTTCTTGAACCTTTTGAAAATGGGAAAAGATCATTTGGATATTATTCAGGAATACAATTTTTTTTAAAGACAACAAAGAAAAACTTATATCTTCACTTTTCTTTCCCACTTGTACACAAATTACTACTAATATCATATATATGTCTGCCAATAAGTTCTAAAATTTTGTTTTAAAAAAGAAAAAAAATAGCTTGCGCATTTTGGCTTTTTGTCTTTGTTTTAGTACCGTTTTAAAGCGCTCGCAATAGCACACAAGGTCGCAATAGCACACAAGGTCGCATGAGTGCCAAAGAGTGGATGTCAACAGAGTCCAAACGGGGAATCAGGCTTACTCTGTTCAACTCTCTAACTTCAACAGCACAAAGTCTGCTTCAACTATCAAGGCACCCCGGAAATAGCAGTTCACAAGAGAGTGACAAACCATACAAAAGAAGTAGAGGAAAATGACAATAGTAAGGATAATAAAAAAAAAAGCAGCAGTTCCCTTCATATTGTTCTGGCACAGTATGAGCATGACATTGATCAGCCAATTTACACTTCTACAGAGCATAAAAACAGGGTAATACCCCCCCCCTCGAATGGCCTACAGACATTTAGGCTTTAGGTGTAGTTACAACAAGAACTCCGTATGAAAGCAGCCACCACACTTCACAAAGAACAGAACAGTTTGACTGAATCAGAAGCACATCGACTTATAATAGCCTTTTATGAAAACTTAAGACTTAAAAAAACAACGTAAAGAAATACAATATTTTTGACCAGTTGCCTTCCTTTTTGTTTTAGTAAGCATATACGGCAAATTAACCTCTTCGCTGCGAATTAGATTTTTATTTTTACTAAGTGTTTTATGCCACTTGCAACACAATAAAGTAATATAAGTGCTGAAGATTAGAGGTATTACAAGAGAGTAACAAACACAAAAAAGGAGGGGATATAAAGACAATAGAGGTGCTTGTGGTGCTTGTCAATTTTTGGGCACATGGAGTTTTTGATAAAAGCTTGTTCATTTACCATAAATGATGTATATCCAAAAGCTTGTTCATTTACCTTGTCCTTGGAAACTGAAAACCTACATTTTTAGTGCTTTTAATGAACATTTTTCAGTAAAATCCACAAAGATTCTTAAATGGACATAGAAGGCATTGAAAGAGCCAAAAAGAGAAAATGTTTTTAAAAATTTTCCAACAGCCACAAAAATGCCAGTTCCCTTGACTGCATTATTATATATATATTATGACGAAGCGCTTGATTTCACCATGCTGCTTCACAAATGGCTCCCCCGTGCGTGCGTGTGTGTGTGTGTGTGCTATTTTCTCGAGTTCATTATCCAGACAGAGAGGGTACGCTCTTATGACAATAGCAGTTGCGAGCGCCGTAAAACCCTATACTACTACTACTACTACTACTACTACTAGAGAGGGTACATACATATGGACATTTTTTTAAAAAAGGATGGCAAATTCAATTTCCTGATCAGATTCATCCCCACTTCCAAAGTAACTATCACTTTCAACTCTCACTATTTTAAGATCATGATTCTTTTCTAGTCTGCCAAACATCAGACCCATCACAGTGACATTAACATGGTTAATAAGCTGTTGATCATATAATATTCTCACCAGGTGATTTTCGTAGCCTGTTTCTTTACCCTGATGAGCTAGCAAGTCTAGATTTGTATCCTATTACATACAGGAAATTGCATGACCCATTGTTTACGCATTTCATTTCTTGCGAGGAATAGAAACTCCAATTAGATTGGTAAAAATGAATGCCTCAAGCATTGTGACAGGAAAAGAGGTGTGATGATAACAATGATAATGTTAGTGCATCTCAGAGGCTTTTCTATGGACCCAGCATTGCCTGGAGTTATTGACTCATTGTGACCATTTGTACTTACAAACCCTTCTACTCAATACACATACATAGGAAATAACACCCACAGAGACAATTTGGATCCTTTAGTAAAAAGGCTAGCTGTGTGAAAGTGAAACAACAGAGACGCATTTATGTAGAAAGACGGAGACAATGTGCCTTTTCTATATAAAGTCAAGACCTTACAAAAGTGTTGGAGACATATTAACTTCTAGACCTATCAACATTCATTTCTTTTCTGTCAAAGAGTTCAAGGATTAGAAGTCTACTTGAGCACATTGAAAAAAGTGAACATATTGAAAATGTCACAAGTGCATTGAATTTGGATGGTGGCAATATATTCACTCAGGATTTCTGGCTACAGCGACTGATCCCTTCCATTGTCTGTTCAGGTAAAAAGAACACTCATTCAGTCACACGTGCCAAACCTACACACACGCATGCACGCCCACACACACACACAGGACTGCACATGTGACAAATGTAAGATCCACTCAGCAACATGTCTTTGTGATGTCGTCAAACATTTCCCCAGAACAGAGGAGAACAAGGACATTAAAATGTGAAAAAAGTAGATATAGAGCACATAAACCAGCCACCATGGAAAGACAATGAATATCTCACGAAACGAGAACAAATCGCAATCCAAAACATTAAACATTAACACACAAAAAACTATACACACAAATCCAGTTTTCTTGAATACCCAGAAAAAGAATTGGGTAGTACAAAAGACAGCTAAAACGGAAGAAAAATAATGAAAATGCCAGAATCAGAACAGAGAACAGATTACACTGGTCTACAAATTTTCTAAGTTTCTGCTTCGGTGCTCAAACATCACTCTGTATGGATTTTGGGACACTGAACTCAAAAATAGTATTAAAATTTGTCTAATTTGATGTTAAGGCCTAGTTTGCCAGATTATCAGGTTTTCTTTATTTACAAATTCTAACAATTCAAAAGTGGCGGTTTTACTCTGTAACCATCTGCTGATTTCTTGGTTCTGATACATTGATTTTAACTAACCAACAGTAAGTAAGCTCTTATCAATTCATAAAATTTGACAAGATGTCACTTTTCACAGCTGCACTGTCCTGGTGAAAATGTTCCTCATGTTCATCACTCACTGCACCATTTTCAAGAATAACATCCTTATATGCAGCAAGGTTTGCCTTTTATTATAAAAAATGGCTAGAAATCCTCATCACCATTTTTAAATGTGCTCACTCGCATGCTAACAGCAAACAAATTCCATTACTGGAGCCTTAAACCCAACATTTCAGCTTTGTGTTCTGCATCTCTTAGTCTCTGCAAAGGTTTTTCAATCCATTTTGCTTGAATATATGGAGTATTCACGGCAGAAACAGTGAAAATCAGTTTTAAGCTAAGTCTCATAAGAGTTTTACGGCACTTACAACACAATAAGGTCATTATAAGTGCCGAAGATTAGGGGTGTTACAAGGCAGTAACAAACAAAAATAGAAGGAGGGGAGATAAGGACGATAGATGTTTGATAGGAAAGAAGGAGCAAACAACATCAGAGCACCCACCAACCACCTACGAAAATCAGTTTAATGTTAAAGCCCAAAGCAAATTCCTTGTACACCAGTATTATCAAGTACTTTAATTTAACAAAGAGCAATAAATAACCAAAGTGTCATCAAAGAGAACCCGGACAAGAAAAAACCTACAACAAAGAACAATAAAACAAAAGTGCAGGACAAAGTTAGAGGACAAAGAAACAACTAAACAGAAACACTGAACAAAAACGTTCAGCACAAGAATTTCAAAGTTTCCACAATTCCAATTATTTGAGTGAGCACTCAGAGGCACAGTATGTAAAAATTTTGCTTTAAAAAATTTTTTATAGTAGAGGGTTTTACGGCGCTGGCAACTGCATAAAAGGTCATATGAGTGCCAAAGGGTGGGTGTCAACAGAGAAGTCTTTACAGGGAATCAGACTTAAGACTGCTCACCTCTCTAGCTTCAACAGCACAAGGTCTGCTTCGACTATCAAGGCACCCCGGAAATAGCAGGTCACAAGAGAGTGACAAACATACAAAAGAAGTAGAGGAAAAATGACAATAGTAAGGATGAGGAAAGAAAAAGCAGCAGTTCCCTGTTGTAGATCAGGCACAGTTATGGAGCGTGACATGAGTCACCCCATTTACAATTCTACTATGCTTGAACGAGAAATGTCCCCCTATTAGGAATGGTCTGAAGACACAACAGTCAGTGGCACTGCCCCCCCCGGAGTAGCTTTTTTTTTTTTTTTTTTTTTTTGGTAATAAAATAAATCATAACCACAAGTATAATAAAGTGTTGAAGATGGGAAATGGCACAACTGAAGAAAAAACACAATATCTGTCATAATCTGTTAAACCACCTTTTAGTTTTAGTAGAGATTTTACGGCGCTCGCAACTGCATATACGGTAATATGAGCGCCAGATAAAACCATCTGTCTAATATTGATCAATTTTGGGGAGAGTCCATTCTATATCTGTCAACAATTTACAGGATTTTGGAAAACCTTGAATTGTATAATAATGAAATGAAAAAAAAAAAAAAGAAATACCAAGTGCATGTTTTAAAAGAGCAGAGAGTGTAAGTGTTGACAAAATGAGGCTTTACCAATAACAACATTGTGATAGATGCTTTTAAATGATTTGAAAAAAATCATACATTGACAGTGTCTGCAATGATGCCAAGTACAAAACCCTTACAGGATAGGTCTTGAAGGAAATTTTAAAAAACCTGATTATCATAACTGACATGGTAAAAGAGGAAATAAATGCCACTATTAGATAATGCCAGGCATGAATTTAAATCTCAAGTGATTCCAACAACACTTTCTGACAGGATTTATTCTGGTGTCTACATTTAAACATCCGTAGCAAAACAGCCTGTTATTTATCCATTATAAAAACAAAAACTTGACAATACAATGTTCCATCATATTTTTAAACTGTGACCAGTGGTATAATGACAGTACATTTTCTACTCCCTCATTTTGAAAAACATCTGTTTATACCTCATTCGCATACTTTATCATTCCAGAAAAATGTTAAACATTAATAAAGGGAACTTCATTTACTAGAAAGATTCAAATTTGAAGTATTCCAAGCCAAACATTTGGTGTGGAATCACTTCAACCTCAAAATAGTGTTTTTTAACTTCACTAAAACTTCAACATAGTGAATGATGTTTGTGTGGTCGATATACCATATGCTCCCAAGAGCAACGTGACAAAAAGTAAAAAATAGAATCCACTACTTCATATTATGTTCATATCCAAGTTAGTAACATAAATAACCAAATTCACAACTGAATAATGAACAATGACACCAGTCCTATGAGATATTTTCCATTACCACACGAGCAATGAGAGAAATCCTGGAGCAAAATAAAAAATGTACCAAAATATTTTAGAATCGAACCAATGCATTTGCACTTTTAAAAAAAAAGAGTACTCTAATCAACATGGCCATTAGAATGGTTGTCACTTCAACAAACTCACAAAACAGAAGAAAAGGCATTAACAAGCTAAACAAGACCAATAAGTTTATTTTAACCAGGAAACAGTAGAAGACAAAAGCGACACTGAGAAAAAGTAGGAGCCAGTGGGTAAGAGAACGTAGCAGGATCATAGAAGAGGGTAAAAATGGGAAACTGCTTACCGTGATATCTCTGAGACGTTTGGCTATCCGCACGCCTTCTCCGAGAACTTTCAACACCAGTCCTTTTGTAATCTCCATGCTGTGATGAGGATACATGACCCTCCGTTTGAGAACGCTTGTAGTCCATATGTTGCGAGTCTTCGTTACCGGGAGTGGACCCTGAGCGGGACATTCCGCTGTGATGGTGGTAGGAGTTAGTGGACGAACTCTCAGCAAGTCGTCCTCTGTCCATGTTTGATTTGTGAGGGTCTCGTGAGCCAGAGTTGTTGTCTCGGCTGTTCTCCCTGGACATGTGGCTGTCCCTGCTGTGCTCTCTGTTGCCGTGCTGGCTGCTGTGCAAGTCATTGCGCACGACAGAAGAGGGAGTCTCTCCCCGGTGCTGGGGGTCGCCGCTGTCTGTGTTGTTCCCTCGGTGACCATGAGCTCGCTCGTGGTGCTCGCTTGAGCTGGAATGTCGAGAGGCTCTATTGTCACTGACTGAAATTAAGGAAACACAGCAAATTAGTTTAGTGTGTAAGATCTTACCGATTGAGATAGAGGACATGAGGGAGTCTTATAATAAGCCAAATTTTATTTCTGCTGAAAGTCAAATTTTTTCATGGCTGGTTTGCATAACATGAACATAATAGCTGACACAAACCAACAACACAATACTATATTTGTATATCAATTTGAATACCCATTAGACCTTCCCAGTTAACCCTAGGTACTAAAACTTGCCCAAGACAAGCAGTGCTACGATTTGACAAAACACACTTTCTCCAACAGGATTTAAGAAATAATAGGCTTGGCTATGATGATAAATATGAATAAATGACAATAAGTTTTGTTGTCACTGCCATTTTTAAAGGAAAAAGTGTCAGCTTTTACAGTTACAGACAAAAAGTTGAACAAAATGGGCAGCCTTTGTTAACAAAGAATGTAAACAGTAAAAAAATTCATAAAGCGAATGTCTGGGATTACTTACTTTTGTTGGCAGAGGCAAGTGTTTTTGGTCGTCCATCTTTTGATCTGTGATCTGGTGTTTTACACCTGTCAGAGAACCGAGAACCAAAACATTACAAATTTGAAACAAAAAGGTCTACAACCTGAAAAACAAATACATATTTCTCTAAACACAAAATCCAACAACATGTACTGAAGTGCTAAAATTAAATAAAATTAAAATGCTGAACTACTCATAATTTACTGAATACCAATTTAAATGAAATTCAGACCAAAAAAAGGAGGGGGTAGGGACGATTTCTGATTTAAAAAATTGATAAATGCCTATACCTCCAGGGTGTAAAAAAACAACAACTAAAGAATGAGAATTTTAATCAAAATGCCTAGCGAGATTGTGCCATGGGGAAAGGTGATCTTTTACAAATTATATCAGAATTTTTTTTTCTTTATTTTTTAATTAGAGGTTTTACGGCGCTCGCAACTGCATAAGGTCATATAAGCGCCAAGGGGTGAATATACAAAAAAAGTAGAGGAAAATGACGATAGTAAGGATTAGGAAAGAAAAAGCAGCAGTTCCCTGTTGCAGTTCAGGCACAGTTGTTATGAGCATGACATTGATTTGATGAATCAGGCCATTTACAATTTCCTTTAGGAATGGCCTAAAGACACTGCCCTGGGAGGTTTCCAGTAAATCAAAATATAGGATGTCAACTGTGTTAGATAACCTTCCACTATAGAACAAAGCAGATTATTTTCTTCAAATTTGCAGTCAAATACCTATACATGTGTCTTATTTACCATATGGTCAGGGAGCCAGAGTGCAAAACTCTAGCACCAAACAGTGTATGTTAATCCATACATTATTTACCTCACAGTTGGAAATACTAAGGGCTACAAATTCCTCATCTGGAGCAGTAAAACTTAAGACACAAATACCACTGCTGTTATAGTAATATGGATTGACTCAGAAGATAATCATGGCTATAGGTTTAATTTGGTCCCTTAACAGTCTACAAGCGGTAAGACAAAATTCTTTTTTAAAAATATACTTAACATTCACCCATCAAGTAATTATCTCTGAAAGAAAAGAACGTCAAAGGGACACAGAGACACACCGACCTGAGGCAGTGGGGAAAGGTTGTTAGTTGCTTTTACAAATTAACATGAGAGAGAAAAAAAAACAAACACAGGAAGACATAATTTTGACTCAAACTTACATTTCACTGTTCCACTCCTTAGGTTTTTCCCACTGAGACACCTCAGACTTGCAGTTGTAGTAGTACCGCTTCCCTGAGCTACTGATGTGCTCTGACCAGTCCCCACACACTCGAATGGCAGACTTTTGCACTTGCTGCAACAAATAAACAAAATTATAAAAGTGGTTATTACTATCCTTACACAAAAGAGCACCTATCTGACCCTCATACACAGTCAGTGCACCCCTTTCCACATACCACACATTACAAAATAATATGCTGTTTTTATTAACTTACCACCATTTACGCATCTGTGTTGGTCAATACGAGACGACCGCTCACCGCCGCTACTGCACCCCTGTCGGTTGTGTATTTTCCTCTTTATTTCTACTAATTGCCGACGCACATGCTGCAACGGCATAGCCCAATTACTAGAGTAACATCCTTTTGACAACTCAGAGCAGTCACACTTTATTAGAATGATTTCCCATGAAGTTCTGCCTGTTTTTTAAACAAGAGTCCCCTTTGTCCTATTTTGGGGTTTTGTTTTGAACGTCGGGTGGCCAAAGTCTACACAACGCTAACGTGATGCTCATGCCAATATGAATTGAAAATGGCTCGTAATTTTACAAATTCTGAATCTATATGATTCAATGAACTCAGATTCAAATGATGAAGTGCAAACTAATGATAGTGATGATAGTTTGAGATGAGAGAAAGAGGTAGATCACCTGTCGACAGCAGTAGGCTAGTACTAATACTAGATCTAGTACTAGAACTAGAGTCTAGTACGCAGACCTGCCACTCTATGAAATCTAAAAATCTGGATTTTAGAGTAAAAAAATCAGGACCTGGTGAAAAAAATCGGGATCAACGGCAAATCAGTCATAAGGGGTACCGGGGGAAGGGGGGGGGGTCCTGGTTCCCTTTTATGAGGCAAGTATGCAAGAGAAAAATTTTGCAGGAATAAGTTCACGTTTGGGCCTCTAAATAGAGTGAAAACTGAAAGACAACATTACTCGAGTCAGAGTTGGATAGACCCTGAAACTAGTGAAACTCTTGTAGTCTTGCAAATAGCTGACACCTAACTCTAATCATCCATGCAAAAAGCCCACGTTTTCATATAAAATAATATAGTAACAACGTTTGACTTTTATCTTGACTTTTATCGCATATACACTCAAGGCACCCCCCCCCCCCCCAAAAAAAAGGATAGCGTCAAGGTTGTTCATTTATTAATTTTTTTTTTATTCCTTTATCCTCAATTAGTACATGTATCACGGCACGCACTTAAAGCCCAAGTGTCAAAACAATATCCCCACCCCCTCCCCCGGTCGTCCACACAAACACCTCCACCAATGCGACCGGTGTGAATGAACTTTGTTGACCCCGACAACCAACGGTCCCCAACACACGCGCTACTCACACGTACGAGGTCAGGTCATGTGATGCGAATGAGCGTTTGAAAGCTCCACTGACAGGTCTTGATGATGGGCCCAACTAACCAGCTTTTAAAGCAACGGCAGAACGACAGTCGATTTTATTTGAAATAACGTGCGTGAGTCATCTACTAGGTTCGGCATAGATGCTTTAGAAAGTAGCGTTCCAAGTTCCTGTCGATAAAAAATCCAACCAGTGCTTCCAACCAAAAGAGACTGCAGAACTTTTTATATTTTTTTCTAAGAATCTGTCACAACAGACGCAACGACAAAAAATCAGGATAATCGGGATGCTTGAGATTTGGGGCAAAAAATCGGGATACCCTGATCAAATCGGGATGAGTGGCAGGTCTGAGTACGGCAAATAATGATTCAAGCAGTTATGCTTGAAATAATGTAGCATAAGTTCATAAACTTATCAATTTAGTTTTCTTTGTTTTGTTTTATACATTTTTGGGTGTATTTTAGGACAGAAACAGCAACACTCAAATCAGCAAAAATATTGTACTGGTTAGTTTGGCCCCCAAAAAAGTTTTAGTCACCGAAATTTGTCGTTTTTAGAAAAGCTATAAAACATGAACAAAATAACATAGAGTCAAAATTCTTTCTGTTCTGTAAAGCTCAACATCTCTTACTGGTAGAGTAACTGGATTTTGAAAAATGTCCAAAAAAAAGCTGGCAGGCAGCGGCTTGGTCTGAGCTTAGGCACTAGCAGCGAGTGAGTTAAACACAAAAACTACCATCACCACCTATCATAAGTCTTCATCTTATTCAAAACTATTCCCCCCAACCCATAAAAAACACAACAAACAAATACAAATCGGAAAAGACAGTAAAAACACAAGGCCATGATATGGTGACCAGAAATACATGTACTGTGTGTTAACAAATCTTTAAATACAACATTACTCCATACTCTACAGCGTTCCGACAAGGACAGTATAAATTTATACAAGTGTCAGGTGTCTGACATTGCTTAAGTTGCCAGTAACTTGAGCCTTCCTAAAGGGGGGCAAGCAAAAGAAACGAAAAAACAAAAAAACAATAACCCAAAAGAACCCAAGTAACTTTACCTCTTTGTCTTTCCCGTGTTCTTTGCTAGAGGTCGATTGCTTCCCATTATTAGTTGCTGATGGAGCTTTGTCCCTTTCCGGGTGGCTGTTGGCATCGCCTCCCTGCTGGTAAGATGATCCTTTAGATGGCTGCTGCTCTGCTGCAGAAGAGTGAGGATGATACGAAGAGGACGAAGCCCTGTGTTCTCCACCTGAATACTTTGAGTGGCTGTTGTAGTCTCGATGGGATCCCCCACCCCCGCCTCCACTCTGGCTTGCTGATCTGTCTCTGTGGCTGCTGGAAGATGAGCGATCCATTCCTCCGCCTCCGCTTTGCTCCCCTCCCGGCATTGAGAAACTGGACTCAAGTGAGATTGGTCGACCCAAGCTGCCTGTGGCCAAGTAGTGACTGACCTTTTCCTCTGCCAGGCTGAGGGAACCTAACCAAACAAAAACAAAAACACACATTTCAAGTACTTTCAACAGGATTGTAACACTACAACACAAAGCAGCAAGGAATAAATGATACCAAAAAATACACAAAACCCAGACTGTTCTGATTTGTCCATTTGTGAAGACACGGAACACGATATCTATTAAAGTCACATCATATGTAAACAACCGTTCCAAAAAATTGTTAAAATGTTCCTGTTAGTTGCCAGGAATAAGAAATACAAGTACATCAAAACTTTTCATTCTCCGAAAATCAAATCTGAAGTTCGTCAATCAAATGAGGACCTGATGCAACTGACACATGTCTTCTTAAACAGACTTTGAACTTACATTAGCAGCCACCTCCCCATAACGTCATCTGTACTAACTGCCACTGTACTGTGACACCACTGTGTCTCTTCTATATTTTTTAATCTGTCCATCCACATTAATCCCAGTCTAAAGTGGTCATGATTAGTCATCTCCTGCTCTTAGAAATCAGTAGTTACAAACATTTTCTGCCACCCCACCCTCACACTGAGTGTGTACATTCAATCAATGCAAAAAGACAGCTGCACTCATCACCTGGCTCGGTACAACTAACTTAACAAGAGAAAGCAGGATTTAATGAAGTGCAGTGCTTACCCAAAGACGTGCGAATGTCATAGAACTGAGCACTTTGCTATTGCCTATATCTTAAACGATAGTATTAACACATTGCTGCTAAGCCAAGTAAACATCATGCAGTCTTATGGGTCATAGGTCAGGTTTTTTTGGTTTGTTTACTCCTGTACTGTTTTGTGAACAACAACTATACTGGGGGTGTTGAGACTGTTGAAGCATTTCTTTTTTAAAAGCTTAAATTATGAACTCAGAAAGGAATTGTACAATTTTTTTTTTTTAATTAACTATTTGCTCTGATCTTTTCAGCTGTTAAAACAAAAACACACCTCTTTTCTCTTTATTTCTCTCAATATAAGAGGACTTGTTCTGATATCTGGGACTAACACGGCTGCTAATGGGTCTGTCGTCATCACTGTCGTTGGCAAATAGACTGCTATGGTACTGCATGTCCTGAAATAGGAAATAGAAACACAAATTCAAAAGAGGGAAAACCAAAAGAACAATCATCTAATCATATTTTTAAAAAGCCCAAAAACTTTTTTAAACACGACAGCAGAATACCTGACAAAAGCAGAGTCACATACCGAAAAGAAAAAAGAAAAGTGGACGGGGTCCATTAAATTTGCAACACGAAATGAATCTTTATTTTCAAAGAAATTGACAGGAAATATTAGTCACAAAAATCTAAAGCAAGCCTCAGGGTACTTATCTTTTCTTTTCTTCTGAGGTGCGTGAACAAGCAGAAACATATAAACATAAACATTAAACTACTAACAGATGTTTGTCATCACTTCAGCATGGTCACTTCCTACCCCAACCATATCTTAGACTATTGCGTCTCTTCTGATCTGCTTTCTGACACCATCTAAATTATCTTACAAGAACAGCAATGGTACGAAATTTTAAAAAGGCCAACCTGATGCAGATGGGCGTCTTTTCGGTCAGCATACCTGGTTGGACAGAGAAGAAATATAGATTATGGAAATGAAGAACAATAAAACAAAACGTTTCAAGCAAAAAATTAACAAAAAGTTTTGTGCTAACCAGGTATTCTTACCTGGTTAGGATGGCTAAATGAAAATGAACAAAGTGAAAGTACCCAAAAAGATTGAATTACTCTGTCTCATTTATCCACGAAGATGAGGAAAATAATATGTATGAATGTTGTTTAAAAATGTCAAAATGAAAGTTTTAATGGCTGTTGAACAAAAGCATTTTTTTTGGTTTAGAATATGGAAATACAATCTGATATGATATTATAATTATTCAAAAGGGCATGTCATGCTTTCCTCTCTCTTGTGTTTTGTATTCATTGTTTCAGCCAGCTGCAAATAGCAGTGGAGTGAGCTGTTTTTCTGCTCAATGAGACTAGTTGTCTCTAGCTCAGGGCTCACATGCTGGGGTAACTTCTACCCCCATTTCACCCCTACTCCCCTTCCTTGCCCAGCGGCATGGCCATGGCGTTAAGTTTAGAGCCGGCGGAACCAAACTGGCGAGTATTGTTTCAAATCAGGGCTGAGTGGGCAAATCATTTTCCGTCTTAGACAGGTGAAACCCTCGGAAGGGAGCGGATTATTCTTTCCGTTTCCGCGTTGGACAGGTTTCCGTTTTATACAGGTAATTAAAGAGGAATATATCAAGGGGGGAGCGGGGAGATTCCGTTAATACAGGTTTCCGTTTTATACAGGTTTCCGTTAAGGCAGGTCCGACTGTACTTCAAAAGCTGTGACGCGCGAAAGGAACACCGGGTGCCTAGATCTACGATTTCAGTCGGCGGTATAACATTCGCCGTGATTGTCGTCATTTTGCGACGTACCAGAAATCCGAATTTTGGCCAACTTATGTTTGGAATGGATCATCAACAGTGCCGAGATATAATTGTTTTCTCGAGTCTCCATTGACTTCCCATTACCCGCTTCCCCAGAACAGCTGAAGCAACCGCGGAAAGAGAAAAATGAAAATAGTTATTGTCGTCAGCGTGCGGTGACGCACAAGAATCCACTGTTAAATGTGACATACAAGACTGTTTTGCGTGTTTTTATGCTACCCTATTGAATATTTTAGTGAAATTGTGGTTCCTGAAACAAGAGAGTGATGTGTGAGAAAACTTCGAGGGATGGGTAATTTCTGTGGTTATAGATTTAGCTTTTGTGCTTAGTGAGGACGCTTGGGGTGTCGTCATGCAGCCGTACAAGACTGACTGACGTACAAGAAATTAAATTGTCCTAAGAGAAAGCATTTTTTTGGTCATCATGAAGTCATGTGCTTCTCTTTACTCATGTCCTTGTTTATTTGTCGAACTCAAAAGTACACATTTTTTCTTTGTTGACATGAATGCCTTTTCCAATACATTGTTATGTACAAGTAATGTTTGTCATCATTGCTAATATCAATAAGTTTTCATCATATAATTCATATATGCATGATTCATTTAGAATAGGCACTTTACTATCGCGCGCCGCGCAGCCCGTAAAACGAGAGCCGACGGGCCGTTCAGTTTTGAAGCCGGCGCGCACTCGATCCGATCGGGGTGTGTCGGAAAACGCGAGCGTTTTGTTTCGTTTTCTTCATTTACTCCAACTTCCGATACATATTTATAACCGGAAAGAACTCTTCTTTCTAATGGCGTTTTCCAGTTTCGATTCGGGTCGGTAGATCCCGAGATATTTGCAAGTGAAAAATCGGGTAAGTTTGATCGAAAATTGTATACAATCTAGCACTCATAAGTAAATGAAACCTATGCATACAAGTGTAATGGCCTTTTATCTATCGAATTTACTTGGAACCATCTATTTTAAAACACACTCAATCAGTGAAATTGTTCCCTCAAATGAGCACCCTTTCCCAAACATCGCGTCTGTTCGGTTTCTTCCCGGGCCAGCCGAGGTGAGGTGGATCTATTTTTAGACCTCGCTCCCGCCCGTCATTGTCGGAGTACACGATAACTTAATAAGGATGCTCAATTTGAGAGAACAGAGCGTAAATAATTTATATTTTTTGTTTAAAATGCTTTCAAATTATATTGTTTTAAATGTACTGGTTTTGGTTTGGCACAAGAGGGAGAAAATACGTAATATCAAGCTACAACCGACTGGACCATTCACCTTCCACAATGGCTGCTCCTGCCAAGCGCCGACTTCTACCCTCCCCCTATGGTTTTCTGTACAGTCACATTAACCGTCTATTTCTTTTTGTTGTTTATTATCATTGTTTTCGTTGTTACTCCCAATTGATGTAGAATTAGATCTAGATCTAGTGTATTATATTAATAATAAAGATAGATCTAATTTTTTAATAATTTCAACTCTCCTCACCCTTTCTTTTGCTTTATATTTTATTGTAAGGAAAAGTCTATCTTGGATCTTAATAATTCCTTAAATAATATCAGTCAATATAATATTTATATTATAAAATTTAATACCTATCCAATTTGCATTGGCTACATTGAGATTTAATATAATTAGGCCTAAGTTAACGTTTTAAAATTTATTTCAGCAACTGTGCATCTTTGTTCATGTTGCAATGGGAATTATAATGACATATATAATAAATATAAAGTGAAATTAATAATTAATGTAATTTACTCAATTGACAACCCCCCC